AAGAATAAAGATATCCACAACTCAAACAAAGACTCTATTTACCTGTAAGAGAGGGGAACTGTATTTTTTCCATTACAGAATAGAATCTTGACCTGTGAAAGTATAGTGCTTTCCTTTTTCTGTCATTCTAACCCCAAGATTCAGTTCATTAATTATTAAAGGAACATACTGAATGAGGAGATGGAAGAATTGTTGTTATTGCTCTCTTCCTTATGGTAGCTTGCTCCATTGACTTCCACTGGAATTAACATTGGAACATCTGAACACATATTCCTTGTCTGTACTTACATCACCCAAGCATTCCCATATTAAGGAAGGTGGTTCTTAGCTTGCTGGGAAAAGAAAAATTATTAAACAACATATGCATTCAGAATTCAGAGTCTGACACTGTGTAGCTCGTGAATTCTGTTAACTTGGCTTCAAGATGACAAATACAAACTTGAATAGACAAATTTTGCTGAAATGGGAAAAAAAATAGGGTTTTTTTTTTCTTTTTGTTTTAGAAGCAAATAAACCAATTTACCTTAACAGGGCAGAGGAGCTGGAAATGAAATCAAGGAACCAGACTCCTACGCTTCTAATATTTTAACTTCTAATATGTTCAGAACTTACATAAAATGAGAGTATTTTGCCAGAGCAACACAAAACCACTAAGGATTAAGTTTTTTGTCCCAGTGAAGAGCATTCCATTCCCACTGGAGGAATATTTTTTTTTTTCAAAATTAAACAAGTGTTACTTGACACATTCAAATAACATAAGTTTTCACAGTTAAAATCCCCAAACACAAAACATTGAAATTATCATTTTAATACCATTGCAATGCTACTAAAAATCAAAGCATAAAATTTCATGCTTGTAGAAGATGAGGAAAAAGGACATATCATTTATACCACTTTAAAAAGCTACTTTTCTTATAAGTTGGGCCGTAAGATTTATATAATAAAGTTTCATTAACTTATTTTTTACACCTCCATATTTATGGAGACTGTGGCATGTTACAGCTCTGTGTAAATGTCACATATACTTTTGCCAATCTCACTGTATAGACAATGTTATATCTCTGTAATATTCTTTAAAAAATATAATCATCTTTGGCTGTACACTGGCATTGTTAGCAGAGTCCTTTACAACAATAGAGTACATTCTGTAATTTTCCCTAGAGCTGAAAACTCTTTCAAATGAACATGAGTCAGGCAGCACTTTTGGGAATAATGCTGCAAAGCTGTAAATGCTGCTCACCGTTCCCGTGAAGAGTGACTTTTGGAGGAAGTACATCAAGTGCCAGATGCAAACTCCAGTTTCCTGGAGTCCCTGTTAGCACAGGGATGTTTTCAAAGACATTGCTGTATGTTGTCTTGCTAACTCTGAAGAGAAACAGCTATTTAGGTTGGCAAACAAAACAAGGGTTGCACAAACCAAATACAAGAAACTGATTATGTCAATGATTTAAACACGGCTCTGGATTCAAAGTTATTTTGATTCAAGACAACTTTAAATTAAATATTGGTTATTTGAAATGAAAATCAACTTGTTTATTGGAGAAGGACTAACAATAAATAGCTTTATTTTCAGCACTCTGATGATAGTTCTGAGACCTCTTTTAAAGACACATACTCAGCTCTTCCACCTTCTTCTAGGAGCCTGCACCACTGTAACTGTGCCTTCCATTTGGAAGTCCAACCATGTGCTAGGAGTCAATATGATAACTTCAGTAATTAAACTCTTATCAGAAGCAGGAGAAAGCACAAGGTGGAAAAAAACCCCCAAACTTAATCTGAATCCAATATAAATAATTTACTTCTTTCTGCAACTATTATTACCCTTCCAAGGAAGCTTTCATCATATTGATGATGCAATTACTATAATTTCCTTTGGTTCAGGCTTTGCAAAGGTGTGTCTTCTTGGGGTAGATGCTGACTCAGATTTCTAATGGTTTCTGTCAACACTGAACCTAATTAAAAAAAAAAAAAAAGATGTGCAATAATATTTGCAAAATTGTCGTGTTTCAAAAAAATATTAAGAATATTTTGCTGTCTGACAAGATTAGTATTTCACAGAAAGAAACCTGAAGACATAGACAACTGCCATGGAATGGGTGAATATATAGAGCTGATTTTTTATAGTAAGCATTCTAAGTAACTTTTCTTAAAGGACTTGATACAAAACTGGGCTTCCCAAAGTTGTGTATTGTTAAATTTTCAAAATCTCTTGCCCTCTAAGTCCTTGTGCTTTACATAGTGTTACTAGTCTGTGTGTAATGAATGATACATGAAGGGTTGTTAGGAAGTTGTGCTGTAGGGAAAGACTTTATTCTGAGTCATGAGCAGTGCTGAACTGTAGACTCATTAATTTGATTAAAAGCATGGCTCGTTATAGGCCAGCTGCTTATGCAATTTTTAAATAATACATAGTTTGAGATCTCATTAATTGAAGTTTTATTTATTTTCAAGACTTTTTGGTCCTGACTGTTGCATTATTACATTGTTTACGTCGTCGCATTTATCACTGGCCATACATCTGCAACACCTGCATGTTTGCAACACAATCTTTCTTATGCTTTCTAGATATATATAGTACAGTTTTCAGCTTTTTGGCAAGGTTTGGAATCATGAATCATTCAATAGATGAATATATTACGTAGCTTCGGTGCTTGGCCCATCTCTCCATCCATTTTGAAAAATAATTATCTAACCTAGTAAAGAAGCTTAGAACTTAAACAACACTTTGAAAGAAAGTTCCTTTCTCTTTCTCAAAAAAGTAAATTCAAATAGGATACAGTTAACAAAACAATCTACTGGGAAATTAATTCTGTAACTGCTTTCATACATGTAATTCTTTCCCTGGTGGACAAAGTTATTAAGGTCACAGTGATAAGATTATTCTTTCTATGAATTGCTCAGTATTACAAACCATGAGGCAATCAGCAATAAATAAAATATTATTCTGAATCATCTTAATAGATGCCAAGTCAGTAGGCAGCAAATAGGCCATGATAGTTAAAAAAAAAAAAAAAAGAATGAAAAAATAATGTTGGAGGAAATTTTACAGCAAAAGAAAAAAAATTAGCTCTGCAAAGCCAACTCTGTTAAAAGTTTCTGTTCATATTATTCTTAGATGAACTATTAACACCATTTTCAGAAGGAATACGTAATTATTTGAGTCATTTCCAATCTACCCTCTCTAGTGACTGCAGAAAGTTGATCTGTGTCATAAAAGACGCAGGAAACATCCTGGAATGTGACTCTATGTGGAGAGAACAGTAATGAAAAATTTCCTTCAAGACCTAAGATTTCTTATTTGTGGAGCCCTTGCTGACAGGCTTGTGTTTGACATGTCTGGAAAGCTTGTAATTGTACTCTGACTCCACAGAGAACTGCTTCGTAACTCAATTAGAGTTCCCTGGGAATATAACATTTACTAATTAGGAAACGTGAATGACAGACAAAGTCTTAGAACTAGGGTGGGCTCTAGACTGTTTTATCAGAATTGCATGTAGTTTTCTCTCACAGAAAAACACACTGGATCTAGAGATGGCAAATGCTGTTTCAAAGCTTGACATTTTTTTCCAGTCGCTGCGAAGATTTATCCTGAAGGTCAAACAAAAAAAGAAATTTTCCATCTTTGTATGTATCTTTCAAAAAAATTCTGAAAATTTACGGACACAAACATTCATCTGGTGCTGAACAAGAAAATATAAAGTTAAAAAATCCCATATTAACCAAGTCCAGAGGAGCTTAAATAGAAAGTAACTATTGCTGGTAAGGTTTTTTCTGAACAGGTGTAAGAGGTGCTTTCTTGTGAAATGTGTTAAACTCCTGTTCTAAAATCTCAGATATACATCCCCCTCTAGGTACTCAGCTTCCAAGAAAGAACACCACATGGAAGAGACAGTTAATGCATCTTTCCAGGATTGTGGTATTTTAGACTTTCTAGTACACTCACACATTCTTCTACCTGAGCAGCGCTCAATTTACACAAAGAACAAGAGAAAGATCTATCAGAGGATGTGTGAGAAATTTGGCAAATGCCATATTAAGGCAAAAATCTTACTGAGATGATGAAAAAGGAAGTACAGCGATAGAACCATCTAAATCATAGAGCTGAAAATCATTTTGAATGTAAGATGCCATACAAATTGACTGGTGTAATTCAACACAGTGCTGTTACTCCTCTGTCCTGTCTCAGGACACGCTGTTGAACCTTCATCCAAATTAACTTGCACCTTTCTTTGACACTGTCACGGACCCTTCATCTATAATTCTCTGCATTTCAACAAGATACAATCCTGTCTTTAAATGAGAATGAGCTAAGCAAGACAAGGTTTGAAAGATTCATCCTCGTGGATCTTTGAGCTGAGAAGCATGCAAAGTCATGCACAGGACTGATCAAGTAATTAATATTTGAAAACGTTAGCGGTTTAGAAGGGTTTTATTAGCTGTTTCCACACACAACCACAAAATATTGTAACTCTCTGAAGTTTTTTTAAAACCCGGGATGCATCAGGCACAGCACCACCAGCCAGGAAAAAGGAGCTGATTGTCCTGCTCTGCTCTGCACTGGGGCAACCCCACTTTTGATCTTGTGTGCAGTTTTGGGCACCAGAATGTAAAAAAGACATTAAGCTACAAGAGAGCATCCAAAGGAGGGCAATGAGGATGGTGAAGGGCCTTGAGGGGAAGCCGTGTGAGGAGCAGCTGAGGGCACTTGGTGTGTTCAACCTGGAGAGGAGGAGACTGAGGGGAGACCTCACTGCAGTTACAACTTCCTCGTGAGGGGCAGAGGAGGGACAGGTGCCAGTCTCTCCACTCTCATAAGGAGTGAAACAACACGAGGAAACAGCACCAAACTGAGTCGGGAGGTTTAGGCTGGATATCAGGAAAAGGTTCTTCCCCCAGGGGGTGGTTGGGCACTGGAACAGGCTCCCCAGGGAAGCGATAACAGCACCAAGCCTGACGGAGTTCAGGGAGTGTTGGACAAGGCTCTCAGGTGTATGGTGTGGCTCTTGGGGTGCCCTGTGCAGGTCCAGGAGTTGGACTCGATGATCCTGATGAGTCTCTTCCAAATCAGCATATTCCATGATTCTATGAACACCAGAAATAAAAATGAAAGAAAACATTTTTTTTCCTTTTATATGACTGGCAATCTCTCTCTAATACACATGGTTGTTAAATGGATAATCTTAGTATTATTCAGTGCTTTTATTTTAAACAGACCTTGTCCATGGAATCATGAATTATAAATCCATGGACTATGGAATTGTTCCAGTAGTAGGCCCCTCACTGGTACAGTTATTGTGATTCTACATCTGTAAAGCATCATGAGTTATGTAAATATACTTATTATTGACTTATCAGAGTTTACAAGTAGTTCTAGTTTACAAGTTGTTCTAAATTTACTCCAGAGGGCTCAGCTGATAAGTTCTCTGACAGCAACTGTTTTGGTTTTGAGTCTGTTTTTCCACTAGGCAGATTTTAGTGATTGTTTTCTCCCTTTTGTTACTATACTCACAGAAAAGCATACAGCCAACTGCTTCATCCAAATAACCCTTAGAGATTCACCTGCTCACCACTACTTGCAGTTGGACTACGTGGTTGTTGAAGGTCCCTTCTGATCAGAACTACTCAATTCTCTTCCATTCTGTCCTTTAAATAACTTGTGGAGTCGTAGGAAATAACTGACATGCCTGTATCTAGAAAAATGAATGTTTGGACCAGTTACATGAATACTATAAGTGTACTGTTGAAAAAAGGAAGTTTTCCTTGCATTGGATGTTAATTTGTGGTAGTACATGAAGTTCCCAGCTCCAAGTACAACTGCATTCATCTTCATCACTAAGGTCTTCCTATGCAGCAACATGTAAATTGCCTGTGTGAACAAACTGGATTTTCTGGAAGAATAAAGTAAATGAAGAGCCTGGGTTTAGTTTACAGGACATCTAATAGCATAACGTTCCTCTAAAATCCATGTCCTGTTATTATAACTGTTTATAACTATAATATCACTCAAATAGACAAACAATTTACCACAGAAAAAAAAAACAAACCAAACAAAAAACAAAGCAAACAAACAAAACCACAAAACCAAACCAAACCAACCAACCACCCAAGTAAAAACCCAAAAAAACACCGCACCCTGAAACCCCAAATATAATCTCACTGTTCTATAGGAAATAAAGGAAAAGGTACAGTTTATTGATTGATAAAGAACTAATCCTTTCAAAGCCAATTTCTAGAAGACAGCAACTGTGTCTTCAAAGGTTGGCACAGAGAGTTAGTGAACAAAAAATAATCACTTTTCATTGTCTCTGTGGCTGCCCTGTCTGTTTCTCAAATAAAGCTTGGATGTCTTTTTTTTTTTTTCCTGAAAAACAGTGGAAATATAAAGTACCTATCAGAAAATATAAGTTTCAGTTTTTAAGTTTTTTTTTTTTTAAAGTGAAACTTCAAAGTGCCTATTTGGGGGGGGGGGAAATCTTTAATTGAACTTACCTTTTAGCAAAGGCAAGAGAAAAAACTGTCCTCAACTGTTGCATGAAAAATAGACCATCCAAGCAAAAAAACATCCCTAGAGAAAAATTTCACAAATGAAAAGAACTGTACCAATTCAGCATATTCTGTGTAACAAACACAAGTGTCTGTCTTCACTGTGAGTCTCACCTTCCCAGATGATGGCAGAATTTGCCTCATGGTCTCTAAGTATAATTGTATCAATAATGATGATTTTTTTAGTAGAAGACATTTGTTATTGAACATTCAGAGCTGTAAGAAATACTTATGTTTCCTAAAGAAACGACAAATTAGTTAATGCTCATGTATTATGAAATGAGACATACAAACTTTTGGGAGGATTATGTTTTGGACAGGTTATCTATAAAAAGCATAAGATAAACTAAAATCACAAAATGCTATCAATAATGCAGATATTTGTTATCTCTATAGCACTGCTCCTTCCAGAGTAGCTCTGATCTTCTCAGTATTATCAGAGTTGACTTTTGAGTGAAAGGACACTTGTAACCAAAGACACCAGAGAATTCTTGCTTTCTGGGTACATGCAGAGCCTCTATTTAAAGACTTATACAAAAGGTTTCTATAGAAACCTGAAGGACTCAGCCAACCAGTGCCAAAAAGCTGGACCCTGAGGCCTATGCAAAACCCACAGTAACATTTATCTGTCCTGCTGGCTCCTGAAGTCAGTAATCTCCACCATGCTTCAGCATACATTCTTCATCCATGCTGTTATACCTTACATACCTCTTACCTTGGAAAATAAAACATTCTTCTAACTGTTAAAAACATGGCTTTTACTCAGGTCCTTAACTGATCTCAGAGCTAGTGAATTGAAAATTAACTCTGCTCTCCTTTCTGGCATGTACTATCTCCTAGGACATGTAATATGAGTTTTACTATTTTTTTTAAAAGGAGCTGTTTGTCCTATATATAGTTGTGCTTCAAATTGTTACTCACTAAAAGAGCAAGTATTTTTGGTTCCTTCTGAAAGTCATATTTCCATAGTGATGCAGAGCTGACAAAAATACTCAATACATCATGATAACTGAAACTTAACTCACTATCGCAGCTACTGCTCCCAGCTACCATTTTAAACCCAGTCTGGAATGTTATATTGGTGTAAAACTCAGTTTTTTTCTGAACCTTATTTTAATATATATTCAGTATAAAGCATTCAGTTTTAATTTGCAGCTTGTTCCTGGTTTCTGTTTTGGTTTGTTTCAGTTAGCTATCTGAGGATAAAATAGAGCTAATGACTCACTTCAGGGTCCACCCCTAAAGAGCAGCTTGGTGAGGCTGCACTAGGTTTGCCTTCCCTGTGCAAGGAAATACTCTCTTAATGGCTGCAGTCCTCCAGCAGTCCTTGCAGAATGCTTCCATCCCTAATCTCAGCAGCATCTCTTTCCATCATGTTTGTTTTCATACTCCAGAGCCACCAGGGTCATCATTCCTGAAACAGCAGATCCCTGTGTTTCTCTGCTAGAATGCTCATAAATGTGCATGTTGGGTTGGTTGTTAGGACTATGCAGAAATTCAGAGATAACACATCCGTTGGGTCACCAGAGATGAAAACTTTCACTGGGCAGGGAGTGTAGCACAAGATGGAAGACAACTCACCTCTTTCACTTCGGGCAATGCTTCCAATGTGCTAGGAAGGACAGACCACACACTTCTCATATCTGTTTAGTGGCAGTTTTCTCCTTGCACAGAATCTTTTTTTTTTCTTGATAATATTCTTAGAATTGCAGATTCCTTCATTTCCCTACTTCTAATATTTCCTCATGGCTCAATTTCTGTTAAAAGAATGTTTCAAAAAGAATTTCAATCCATATAGGAATATTTCCTTTCCTCTACACCGTGAAGAACCTGCAAGGATGAGAGAACACCAAAGCTCAACAGCAATGCCAGTGCTTAACAGAGACATCTCTCCAAGAGAAATGGAACATTCATTTCTCTCTGAGTTTGCAGAGAAATGATAATAAGACATACCACAGATACCAGCTCCAAAGATAATTATTCCTACCATCCATGAACAACTCTCACAAATGTTATGGAGTTTGGGGCAAGTTTATCTTTATAAAGAATTCATGACATCCCACCTTTCAATCATCTCAGGTCCACCCACACTGACATTTCACAAACCAACCTTACCCGTAATACCTCTCAGCGCGAAGCATTTTCTACACATTAGTTCAGGTCAGCAGGAAATGTTCTTATTTTCCAGCCTTAAAAAAAAAATAAAAGAAAAGACTATACTCCCCCATTCTTGTAATAAAGACTACTCAAGGTCAAGATCAAGAAAACAGGCCTTTGCCCTTGTCTTTTGTCCTCCTCCTAGTTTGTGCAATACCTTCTTTCACACAATGCATAATACATTTCCAATTGGAACTGTGCCACTCTTGCAAGCTCTTTCTCCCAGGGATAACCCAGATCAGACAGTAACAAAATGACAATATTTGACAGCTTTGTCTACTTCCCACGGCAAAAATAAGGAGCTAACACCATAAAAATTAACTCTAAAAAATAAAGTTATGGACAACAAAATGCAGGTTTTGGCTGTTTCTGTTAAATCCATGCTGTACCTTTTTTATGCCAAGAATTACATCATGAGTTCTCCTTCTATGATTATTGTAAAGATCTGTTAAGGCACTTTACATTGGATCTTCATATGACATCTTAATCTCTTACTAAGTTGTCTAGACCAGGTTGTGTTTTTTCAACAACGTTAAAAACTGCTGAACAGTCCTTTTTCTAATTCTGAGGCAACAGTTGTGCTTTTCCCACTGATGGACCTCAGTGACACACTTCACTTATCAAAAAATGACAAGAAAGACAACTGGAGAGTTAGAGTTGCCAAGGCAACACGTGTCTCAGCTAAAGACAAACTTCTGTGTATGATACTCATTATATTCTATGAACTCAGATTTTTTCTGAACCTTATTTTAATATATATATTTTTAATATATATTCAATATATATATATATTTCAATGTTGGAAAACCACTCATAGAAAGTAGTATGGTACTTATGCAAAAGAATGGTGCAAAATCATTAAACTTACAAAAAAATATATATTTTTTATCTCTATATAGATGCATATGTCCTATCTATATACCTTATATGACTTAACATGATGTAATGCTAATTCACATTTACTGGTTCACCAAGACAATTATTCTACAAAATTCTGTAAGTACTAAATGCTGTTATTCTCCAATTTACAGATTTTTGTTTTGGAAGTAAGGTCACTTACTCACAGCTTGCTACTGTGTCATGGCACCAGCTGTATTAAAACTAATTTTTATTAAAATGAACTGTTACATCTGAATAATGTAAGGAACCATTACTGCAATTTCAGAGAAAAGTCCTCATCAGCTTCTGAATTTTACTACTGTACCACTTCAGTACCATGCAGACTCACTCATGAAAATTGCTTTCAAAAACCCATGTCAAAGAATGCTGAACAAGGTTTTCAGAGCCTTTTAATTAATTTTTAATCTTTGTTCCTGAGTATGGAATTGATGTCAATAAAATGTCCAGAAGGCCTTTATTTTATTTTATTTTAGGAAAAAATATTCAGGTTTATACCAGTATTTGCTCTCAGGTATGGTTGAAACATTTTATCCTAAACTCCCCAAAAAATGTCAGCTTCAGGCAACTCGTCTCAAGTTAAAAATATCAGCTTTGGGAAAGGAGTACAATAAAGCAAATGAAAAGGGTCTGGCAGCTGGAAGTGTCAGTAAAGCTTAACTCTCAGTGACACAGCGAGTTCCCTGTGCAGCCCAGGGCATCACAAAGCCTGTGTGGTAAATGTGGCTTTTGTGGTCTGGAGGCACTTCTTTATGATTGCCACCACCCTGCAAATGTCAGACATGTGATGTGAATTTCTATTCACGTTACCACTGCAGTGGATAATCCTGAGTAATCACTATAATCTGTTTTTAGCAACTGTGGTCATGACAGGGGATGTTACATCCACGTCCTTAACTTTCTCGTAAGAAGTCGTTGCCAGTTCTCACCCTAAAGTTCAGGGGATGGGAAAACGAGACTGAAACAGCAGAAAAATCTTTTTTTCAAGATTCTACAGTGCCAGTCTGACTTGTGAGATATTCTCTCAGAGTCCTTGAACACATGTACAATTAAGAACTTAATTAATTCCACGGAAGGAAATAAAGCTGCTTTGTATGCATTACTGTTTTGAAGGAGTACAGTATTGTTCTCATGACAGTAATATTTCATGGAATGCTGTTGAAAAGGGTGAATTATAATTTTTTTATTACACAGAATAAGAACTACCTCACCCCCCCAAAAATTCCTCCACACAAACTTAAATAATGAGATAGAGATAAAATGTATTCCTTTACAATTTAAATATATTAGGATGTAAATAAACTGAGCACATCCAGATCTCAGAGAAACTAGTTAAATTTAGTTAGAGATTCTAGTCAAAGTTTTTTAAAGTAGCAATGCATACTTTGAGGAAAGGCTCTTTTATGCATTCAGAGGAGATATTGCTCATATTTCTTTGCTAAATATCAGCACATGTACTACAGATTGCAGAATGACTGCTGCTGTAGAAAAAAGATCTCAAAAAGAGGTCATAAAAGGAACAGGCATAAGATCTGATTTAAGGACAAAATGTTCTAAAAATAACATGCCTGTGTATGATATTGCTGTAACAAAGAAAAAGTAGATAATTATAATAAATTCAAATTGAGGTCCCCAAAAAAGAATACTATAAGCACAAATTTGACACACTACAAGAAAGAAAGAAAAATGATCTCAGAGGTGACACATACCACCAATATTTTAACCTTTTTTTCTGAATATTCTGCTGGGAATGGTAGTATTTATTGCTTTGCCTTATAAAGGAATGAATGAATAGATTAATAATATTATATTTATAAATAAATTTTAAATGTGTTAACTTTAGAATTAATTTATTTGCTGAGAAGAGGTTTGACTGAAGATAAAATCCTCTTAGTTTTTCAAAACAATCAAAATAATTCAATAAAATTGAAA